ACAACAAGACCATCCTATGTGGTTACTTTAGGTCTCTGAGTTTGTAAGACCTGCCAGGCATGCCTCCCCTGAGCTTGTCAGATTTAGCCCCTTTTTTATCCACACAACATATTTTATATTAAAAAAAAAAACCGCTAATTCACCAACAAGCAGAAATGGAAAAGCAAACTATCCTTTCTCTACAATGATGCAAGGACGTGATTTATAACATCCATTTATTAACAAGTAACATCCGTTCTTGATTTAAAAAATACCACAAAAGAGTTAAAAATTAGAAAAAAAAAAAAAACAACACCAAAACTATCAGCCATTAGTGCCTGATACTAAGGTTGGAGTGGGGAAAATACAAAATGAGATTACCCATTCTATCTCCTACTTTCTAGTCTCTTATGGAATTCATATAGCGTGAGGAGCTGCTTGTTGACTACAATATAAAGTTTAACTTCTATGCATACCCTCCAATCTACTTCATTCCATCTTGATCTGTCTTGCCAAATTCAACTTCTACTAGTTTTTGAAATACATCCTAGTCTTAGCCACATGGGAATAATTCAAAATTCCACCTGTGTTAACTTTTATTTTTTTGCCTGCATACCTTTGGCAAGCTATTTCCTGGGCTTTAGTGGGTTCCCTGAATTCTATTGTTGGCAAAATCCAGCTTAGTCTGGTCTCCTCCTCATCTAACTTCAGTCTGTACTTTATAGGCACACAGGGTCATTTTTGTTTTGCATACGAATCTGGTCATGGGATCTCCTGCTAAAACATTTCCTGGCACACAGAAATCTCATGAGCCATACATTCCAATGCGCCATTTCTTGTTTTCCTGCAATATGCCTATATACTATCCAACTTTGACATAACTTTCTTTCACGTATTTTTCTTGATTTCAGAGAGGAAAGAAGAGGAAGAGGGAAAAAAAATCAATGTTGAGAGAAAATCATTAATTGGCTGCGTCCTGAACACTCCTGACTGGGGATGGAGCCCGAAATCCAGTATCAAACCATAACCTCCTGGTTCATAGATCCATGCTCAACCACTGAGCTACACGGGCTGGGCTTTCCTCTTTTTTCAGACCCATTCAGCACAAGCCCACACATCCCATGAAAATCTGGGTTTACTCTTCCAGAGCTGCTTCCAGGTTTCCCATTATACACAGTTTGCCTTGGGCAGCCCTTCACAAACCTAACTTGGATGAGCTCGTTGAGAAAAAGCGCTTAGCTGTCCCTGTGCTTGCAGAGTAGACGCCAACCAATTGCTCCTGGTAAAGAGATGAATCCCCATCTCCACGATGAGCAACAACCTAAGGATGCTTTTATGGGAGCTTTGCAGCCGCGCTCCAGGCAGCAGCTCCCCACCCGCTGGCCCAGGCCGCGCATGCGCGCCGCCGCCCCCGGCGCCCGGGGCTGCATCCGGGTCTTAAGCGCGGCAGCAGGGTCGCCCCGAGGCTGCGAGGTGTGGCTGCCCCGGCGGTTGCTGGCGGCGTCGGGAGCGCCGGGGAGTCCGGGGGTGAGTCCGGGGCTGCGGGCCCAGAAGGGGGCGGGTGGGCGCACCGGCTGGCCTCGCCCCCTCCGGGGGGCTCTGCACCGGTTCGGGGACGTGGAGCCCCGGGGAGCAGGGGGTGTGCGTGGGGGTGGAGGAGGGGGTGGGGGTGGGGAGGGGGTGGGATGGGTGGGGGTTGGGTGGGATGGGTGGGGGTCCGGTGGATGGGGTGCAGGAGGGGGAGGACCACCTCTGGCCTCCGGAGGGGGCTTCCTGGGGCCTCCTCCCGGCGGCTGCCGCCGGACACTTGTTAAAAATCTAAGTCATCCTCGCCCGCTTCTGGCCTTCCTTCCCGGAGGCACTGGGCCCGGCCGCCCCGGTGTGGGTGGGTCTGCTGCTGGCGCCCCTCTGTGGAGCTGGTACCCCGGCCCGCACTTCTTCCGCCTGCCCGCACCCCCCAGCCCCGCTCCCCTCGCCTCCTTCCCCTCTCCCCTCTCCCCGCTCCACCTATCCAGCCCGGCTCCCCTCTCCCCTGTCCACCTTCCCCAGCCCGGCTCCCCTCTCCCCTCTCCCCTCTCCCCTCTTCCTTCTCCCCCCTCCCCCTTCCCCAGCCCAGCTCCCCTCTCTCCCTCTCTCCCTCTCCCCCTCTCCCCCTTCCCCCTGCCCCATACTCCTTGCCCCCCTTTCCCACTCCCCCTTCCTCTCCCTGGTGGGGAAACCTTGTCAGGTTAGGGGTAATGGGGTCTAGCAGTGTTGCCCAAACTTCTCTCAGGATGAGAATCACCTGGTGAAGTTGTTAAAATACAGATTCCAACAACTCCACCAGGTGATTCTCATCCTGAGGGAAGTTTGGGAAGCACTGGACTGGAGGGAAGCAGCCCAGAGCAAGGATCCTGGAAGTTAAGGCCAGAGTGGATCCCAGACCCCCCTGTGGAGCCTGTCCAGGCCAGGCAGCCAGAGTGAATCAGCACCTGAGGGAGGTGAAGGGCTCCTCCTTGATTGATTGATTGATTGATTGATTGATTGCTGTATCTGCTGGTGCTGCCAGAGCATTGCCCAAGGCCGCAGGAGTGTGGATCTCTGAGAAATTTTTTTTTAATTGGCCTAAATGTTGCAAGAACATCCTGCTGTACTCTGGGCGAGGTGATTCATTGGGAACTTTTGAGAGTGAGTTCTGAGCTCTCCAAAGAATCTAAAAAACATAGCAGCCCCTCCCTCCTTCTCCCCCCCAAAAAAAAACAAAAAAACACCACCACCACCAAAATCAGACCAGCCTTCTCTGTACCTGATCTGAGAGACTTACTTGAACCTCTTTCCGATGCAATCATCTTGTATGGTGGTTTGTTTGTGGGTCCCCCTTCCCCAAATTTAACCTAATAGTAAGAATCACCTGTGGTATTTGAATATCCAGTGAGAGGATCCTGGGAACCTATATTTTTAACAAGAAAATGCTATTTACCTCTTAACTGTGCCAGAATTCTAGGTGATCATAATAGCTGTTATGCCAGAATTATAAATTGTTTTGGTCCTAAAGACCAAACATATATTTATTATAATTGTTCCATATATTTATTGTAATGAAATCTACTCTCCCATTAAAGAATTTGACTTCTTATGGATGTAAAGAGTGTGGGTACAGAATTCAGGACTGCTGCTGAAGTAGTTTCTAAATATAAAGCTAAGTTAAAATCTGGAATTGTGGAAATACATAACTACGAATTAAAATCTGGAAACTATAGTCAGTGTAAATGTAAATCTTGACAATACAAACATAATACATCTTACAGAAATTGGGATGTAAGAATGCAATTTTTTGTGTAATAATAGTAGGTCAGTCCACATTGTCTAAAATGGAATTATATAGCTTTTAAATGACACTGCTCTTTTAATATTTCTGTTATATTGTTTCTTAACTTTATCCTTTTAGGAACTGAAATTGCTTTTTGTGAAGAAAAAATTTCCCTCAAAGGTCAGCAGTTTCTTTAGTTCATTTTGTTTTCTTTTTCTTTTGTTGAATGTAAGAAAAATTTAGTGTTATGATTTTTATTAAAAATAGTGTGCCAAAACCTATGTAATTTTATTAATCTATTTAATTAAAAAAATGAAAAAAATATCTCAAATAAAAGTATCTTTAAATACTCAAAAAATAGCATGTCTTTTATGACCCCATTATAAAAAAATATTTGTATACATTCTATTTATATATATGCATTACATACATATTTAGAATAATAAATACCTAATAATACTAGAATTATTTAAGAGTGGTGGGATTTTGGTTGATTTTTAAAAAAACTTATTTGTAACTTTCTATATTGATTTAATTTTTTAAAAGTACAGGTATCATTTCTATAAGAACATTATTTAATAAAGGGAGGTTTGTTTTTTACAATACTTATAGGGAGAATTCTGGATTTTAGTAAATAATCCAAAAGTTACTGAGTGGTCATTACTACCATTAAATTGCAATCAAGAAATGAGTTCTGCCGGGACCGGTTTGGCTCAATGGATAGAGCATCGGCTTGGGGACTGAAGGGCCCCGGGTTTGATTCCGGTCAAGGGCATGTACCTTGGTTGCGGGCACATCCCCAGTAGGGGGTGTGCAAGAGGCAACTGATCAATGACTCTCTCTCATTGATGTTTCAAACTCTCTATCTCTCTCCCTTCCACTCTGTACAAAAATCAATAAAATATATATTAAAAAAAAAAAAAAAAGAAATGAGTTCTGTACTGCTTTGTTTGCCTTTAGGTTTATTTTATGATAATTTATACAATATCCTTGTAGAGACAGGGAGTACAGTGTGGTGTCTTTATTGTAACTTTGCCTTGATATGAATTCTGGCTTTGTTACTTAGTAATTGTGTGACCTTAAATTGTGTGTCTTTCCTCATCTGAGACTAGGCATTATATTTATTTTAGCAGATGGTTCTAAAGATTAGAATATACCTAGCCCATTGTCCAGAAACCAAGGTCTGTTCAAAAGAGCTATTATTTTTATTTTAAAAGTACAGATTGTAAGTGTACCACAGCATGGATGGACCTGGAGAACATTATACATTATGCTAAGTGAAATAAGCCATTCAAAGAAAGACAATTACCATATAATTCTATTCAAATCTGGAATTTAATGAACAAAATTAACTACCAAGGAAAGCAGAGGCAGACTCAGAGAGAGCAAGGAGACAGCTCTGGGGGAAGAGGGTTGGTGTTTTTGGGAAGGGGTGAGCTAAAAAGAAAAAAGACAACTCATGGATATGGACAACAGTGTGGTGGATCTAGCAGGGGTGGAGATAGGTCTAGGTGGGAGTGAGGGTGGTGGAGGTGGAAGAGGACATAGAGGGGATTAATGGTGATAGAAAAAATAAAGTATGGATTGTATTTGTATAATACACATCTTAAGTAATGTCTTTTTTGAAGTCATCAGTATGTTGCACTTCTATTTAAGTGTCTGCAAATTACTTAAAGTGTTCTAAATGGATTTTCTAGGTTTGAACTTGTCCTGGAAGCTGTGCTTCGCCATAATGAGGCTTGTAATTCTTGATAACTATGACTTGGCTAGTGAATGGGCAGCCAAATACATCTGTAATCGCATCATTCAGTTCAAACCTGGAAAGGACAGATATTTTACCCTGGGTTTACCAACAGGTAACACGTAATTTTTTTCCTCCATTTTAGAAACTCAATGTTATGTGATTTAATGATTTCCTTTAATAAAATATATTTGATTGAATCTGTGTTTATTTTCTTTCTGAAAGATAAAAAATTGCATATTGGTATATTTTATGGCAGGGTAAACACAGCATTTGTTACATAGTTTATTGGATATAGTTCTCTGTTAACGTTTTCTTTAAAAATAACCAAGCAATATCATTGATCTTGTGACACTCTCTTCGATATTGTAGCTTCCACAAGAGAGAGTATTGGACTTGGAATTAGAGCTGCTACATTCTTGGTTTCTGCAAGACCTTTGTTCTATATCCCTAAGCCTCGGTCTCCTTACCTTATAGAAAGACTCAAGTACATGAATTTGTGCATAGGTGGGGTCTGGCTAGCCCTGCCCCAATCAGCGGATCCGCTGAGCCTGTTGGGAGGAGGAGATAGCTAGAGGTTGAAGGGGGAGGTGGGGGGGGAGAGACTCTGTAGGCAATTGTAATCATCAGGGGCAAGGCTGGGCAGGGGGAGGGGCTGTGGTCCAATCCCGGTAGGGTGGGACAATCAGGGGTGGGACCAGCGGAGGAGGGGCTGTTGGAAGTTGGCAGGCTGTCCCCACCTCGCAGTGGGCGCCATAGCAACTGGTTGATCCAGTCATTAGGGTGTTCTGGTCACTGGCTTTTTATTTATATAGATAAGGATAATAACAACTTACCATCTGTTTTGAGGCTCAAATAAACATGCTTTGCAAGTCCTTGTGTACTGTAAGTACTAAATAAATTTAAAGTTTTAAGTGTTTTATTTAAACAGTATCTGCTCCTCCCCCTTATTTGCCAACTATATAAAAGGTACAATCATAATATATTTTCCACTTGCATAATTTCTCTAAAAGTTAGCTCACTAAGTTGATTTTTTTGTTGTTTTGTTTTTGTTGTTTTGCTTTTTGGTCCAGTGCAGTAGATCTTGATGAAAATGGCAGAGAGAGATTTTCTGAAATTGTTCACACCAGTTCTGGGCCCCTCAGCCATTGCAATTCTGATAAGTGAGCCCCAGTGGTTGCACCATGACTTTTTATCAGTGTTCATATTGTAAACTTGGCCTACATTCAAGCTAGCTAACTTGGTCACTCCGTCTTAATTATGACACAGACATAACATTAAGTAATTTGAGGGTGAGGACCAAAGGGCTTTTGACTCATATATGCCAACAGTGCTAAACATATTTCTGTGTATTTAGATATACAACTCTCACTTTATTTTGGGTAGTATACCTACTTGCTAATATTTCTGCCCCAGCCCCTGTGGTTTTAAAATTTGAACATTTCTATAATTGCAAGTAACACTCTGTATTGTAATTATCCTCCAAGGAAGTATTCACTTAATATATATTTATTGAAGTGGTTTTTAGCAAGCTTGATATTTAAGGGCCTGCATGCTGTGGGCCTGACCTACTTTCCGGACTCGTTTCCACCATTCCCCTACACTGAATCGTGACCAGCAAATTGGTCTGCTGTTCAAAGAATAGTCTCAAATGTGCTGGCTTTACTTCACTCATGTTATATAATGAAAACTCTGGAACCAGAGTCTCTTGAATCTCAGGCTTCACTGCCATGTGATATTTGGCAAATTCTTTAATCGTTTTAACCCAATTCTTTCCTCTTCATAATGGGAAAGATAATGCCAACTTCCCACAGTTGTGAGCTTTGCATGAGCTAATATATGAAAACAGTAGCATTGCATCTAGCACATGGTAGGCATACAGATGTCATCTCTGAAACTCCCTCCCCCCCCAATGCTTTTTGTTAATTCTCAATTACAACTTATCCCATCTCTCACTGTTGGAATGCTACTCCTTCAAGACTCAGTTGAAATGCAATTTTCTCTGATCTTTCCTCCAACAAGCAAGACTATAGTTTTCTTGGTTTTACTATAGTTCTCCAGGTTTCTTATAGGTCATTTATATTTTTCCTTGTATTAATATTATAGTTATTTTGTACTTAAACTTACCCTTTCTTTTTAGTTCTAGGATAGAAATAGTCTTTTTTTTTTAATGTTTTTATTTTTTAGAGAGGAAGAGAGAGGGATAGAGAGATAGGAACATCGATGAGAGAAACATCAATGGGTTGCCTTCTGCATTGCCCCTACTGGGGATTGAACCCGTAATCGAGGCATATGCCCTGACCTGGAATCAAACCAGTGCCTTCTTGGTTCACGGGTAGTTGCATAACCATTGAGCAACACCCAGTCAGCTTAGGATAGAAATAATGTTAATCTTTGTTTTATCAGAATTATAATAAGCACTGCTAAATGTTAGTTATGTTAGTAAATGAGTAAAGCAAATAATAAAATGAATTTTATTTCAATACACCCTGTACTATATCTTTCAACCACTTTGATTAAACATAGAAAATGTATGTTTTTTGTTATTACCATTGTGACAACTCACCTTTTCATTAATATATCCTTAAATTGAGTGATTTCTATAACTATTCCCTCAACAATGAAAGACAATATGTATGCTTTTAGAAGGAAAAAGAAAAATCATACTAATTTTTTAGTCAGATTTTATATTAGTAGACTATAAATCTTTGATAAGATATGGTAAAATTTGACCACATAAATTTTAAATTAATTGCATTTTAAAAACAATGTGTATGCTTAACTTTAAGAAAATTTAATAGTCTGATCGTTGAATCTGTCTATATTATAGTTTTTATAGGCACTTTTATTCTTGTCATTCAACTGAGAGACAGTCTTTTTACTATTCTAGAATGTGTGTGTGTGTGTGTGTGTGTGTGTGTGTGTGTGTATATATGTATATCATTTTTGCCAGAGAATTTTATCATACTTCTGCCTGCCACTTCAGTAGAAATTTTGTGTGCAGGTGTTTTGTTTTGTGATGATGTGAGGACCAAGATGCTTGCTCTAAGAAAGCAGGCAATCTAATCTTCCAGTTAGTAGTTGAGATGACAAACTAGAGCACATTCAGAAAACCAAGGGAAGCCATCCTTTAGTGGCTAAATTCATTTACCTTTATTGTACCATATCTTTTAAGACTATCTCTTAATTTTATAAAACATGTGAAAGAATTACATTTATAAAATAAATCAGGAATTGAGATAAAGTGCCCAAAGCCACGAACCCATTTCTTAGAAATCATTTTACTACTATACTATTACAGTTAGCTGATAGATACTGAAGATAACACCTGATAACAAATGAGAAACAGGAGCTAAGGTACACCTGATAACAAATGAGAAACAGCTAAGGTTTCTTACTCAATGCTGGCCAGTTTCAGAGTCTGTTTTGAAAATAGGGACAATATTTAAATTTACAACTCAAGAATAATTTTCTGAACTATAGTTTTCATTAAAATAATAATTGTTTGCCTGATAAGAAATATAGGTTAAAGTCATTTTAAATATTTAAATTAGATGTTTATGTTATGTTAGAAAGTGTATTTTTTATCTATTTTAGGGAGTACACCATTAGGATGTTATAAAAAACTAATAGAATATCACAAGAATGGATTTCTTTCCTTTAAATATGTGAAGACCTTTAACATGGATGAATATGTAGGTAAGCTATATTATTTGAATATATTATTTGTATATATCATATATATTATATTTTAAATAAAATGACTATTTTGAGAATATTTAATATATTATTGGAAATTTTGTTTTTAATATGAATATATTTCTAGAATATAATGTATAGCCTTATCATGAGGTTGAGAGTTTATTATAAAAAATCTATTTTTGCAATAAATTAATTAACCATACAACTAAATATAACAGCACAATATAGTAGAAGGAATATAGAAGTAGAAATCAGAAGATCTGTAGTCATCATGGGCTTTGCAGTGTACCAGTCTTATAACTTTGGTCTAATCTCTTCACATTTCTCATTCTCTTTTGTATTTTTTCCTTAAAGCAAAGTTAAAACCAGACTTGGGAGGAATAAAGTAATATGTATATGAAAGTTAGTAAAATAAAGGTTTTCTAAGTATATTTGTAGCTGTGAGGTTTTATAATTTATTGATTGTTAACTTGCTTCACTAGAAAGATATGTGATACGTATAGATTGTTTAACATCCTGATATAATAAAACCCTAATATGTAAATCAACTGATTGGCAGAACAACTGGTTGCTGACAAGCACTGACCACAGGGGGAGTGCCACTCAGCCAGAAGACAGGCTCATGGCTGATGAGTGCAGCAGTGATGGTGGGACTCCTTGGGGGATGTTCACCTGCTGGCTTAGGTCCTTTTCCTAGAAAGCAGGCAGGCCTAAGCCAGCAGGTGAACATCCCCAGAGGGATCCTGGACTGCAAGAGGGTGCAGGCCAGGCGGAGGGGACCCTCTTTCCCCCATCAGTGCACTAATGTCATGACCTGGGCCTCTAGTTTAAATATAATAAAACACTTTTAATGGTAGTCTAAGTGATACCCAAAGAACTGTTGTGATTCAATATTCTTTGTTGGCTTATAGGAAAAATACAGGAGGAATATAGACCAACATTTTAGTTGTATGGTCAATTAATTTATGTGGATATTAACACATAAATCAGTTCTGTTAGTTAAATTGTACATATTTGAGCCCTAGCTGGTTTGGCTCAGTGGATAGAGTGTCAGCCTTTAGACTAAAGGGTCCCAGTCAAAAGCACATGCCAGGTTGCGGGCTTAATCCCCAGTGTGGGGCATGTAGATGAGATAATTCTGTCTCTTCATTGATGTTTCTATCTCCCTCCCCTTTCCCTTCCTCTCTAAAATCAATAAAAATATATTTTTAAAAATTTACATAAATGAGAAATGGAGTATATGACTAAATGCACATGAAATAGACTTCTGTGTTTGAATTCCAGCCCTTCTGTGAGTTATGTGACTTTAAGAAAGTTATTTAACATGCCTGTGCTTCTGTTGTTCATCTATAAAATGGGAGTGATAATATTTCCATAGATATCATAAACAAATTGATTTAACAAATTTATGTACAGTGGTTAAATAATGCTTAGCGTATTTTCCACATACAAATGCTTTAAAAATATAGTATAGAAAGATTATGTATTTTAAGTAACATTTAGAGCTTAATCAAAAAAGTAAATTTTAGATTTATTTTTTAAAATAATTACATTTTTATCAACTTTATATTTAGGACTTCCCAGACAGCATCCTGAAAGCTACCATTCTTACATGTGGAATAACTTTTTTAAGCATATTGATATAGATCCTAATAATGCTCATATCCTTGATGGGAATGCTGCAGATTTACAAGCAGAATGTGATGCATTTGAAGATAAAATAAAAGAAGCTGGAGGAATTGATCTTTTTGTTGGAGGTATGTAAAACATTTTGTCATTAATCATTTGTTAATATTTTGGTTAGGTGCTATGAATTACAAAAATAAATCTTATCATTGTGTAGGTGTAAAGAACAATTTTGTCTATAATACACATTTATTCAGCTACTGATTTCTGTTTTACTTTATTTTCATCATCTTTCCAAATTTGCAATTTGGAATTATTTAAATTACATCTTGAGAAATAGGTTCCAATCCCTGCCTAATTTTTCTAATTACCTTCTCAGAATTAACAGCATACTATATCTTATGAAACAAGGGATGTGCTTCTTTTTCTAAATGATATTCTTATCCTATTTCTTTCATTGCAACCCAGTTTTCTTATTTTATTAAAAGGTTAAATCTCTAAAAATTTGCACGTGGAACAGGTGCATTTTAGCATTTCTGTACTAAATTATTTTATCTCACTAAGAAATTAATTAAGGATGATGTAAAATTTTATTTATCAGCAGCCTTTAGTTAATATGAATTAAGCAATATAACCTATATATATATATAAAAGCCTAAGGGGCTGTTTGACCATCTCCTCTGACAAGCACTGACCATTAGGGGGTAGATCCTCAATGCAGAGGCATGGAAACATGGAACAGACTGATGAATCTTGGAGGGGAGAGTGATTGGCTAATGGGGGAGGGCAAGAAGAGATTAACCACAGATCTTACATGCATACTAGAGGCCTGGTGCGTGGATTTGTGCACCAGTAGGGTCCCTTGGCCTGGCCTGTGGGGATTGGGCAGAAACCGGTCCATTGCACAGATTGGTGCATATGTGGGGTCCCTTGGCCTGGCCAGTGCCCTTTTGCAATCCAGGTCCCCTCATGGGATGTCGGACTGCCAGTTTCGGCCCAATCCCCACATAAAGTCCGTGCATTGGGCCTCTAGTTATCTTAATAAATTACAAAGTGAATAAATATTGAATTGATGTAATTCCTCTTGAAATTTATATGTCTTGATGTGTATGTCTTTGTGCATAATTATCATTAAAAATAGGTGAAGAGTTTCTTCCTTTGTAATGACAACATAGTTTTCTGTCATCAATATGAAGCATGAGACAGTTAATTCATTACCATTAAAACAGTATGTAACATTATAATACCATTAACTACACTGATACTAAAATAGTTTTTTGGCAGACTCTTTAGTATTCAACTAAACATGCTAAGTAGTGCACTCTCCAGGTGTTCTATAGATTTTCTAAAATCCATACCAAAATCTAGTATAATTACTGTAATATAACATACCTAAACTGTTTATCTTAGTTATAAAAATTTTCACTCGTCGACTATTGTTATACAAAAAGGCATGTAGTTACTAGAGATTCATTATTTAAAATGTCTGCATGAAGAATATCTTTTTTTTCTTTTCTTTCTTTTTTTTTTTTTTTCTTTCTCATTGAGGACTTTTTTTCCTATTCATTGAATTTGCAGAGGATCCATGCAGCAAATCCCTTAGGGACTCATTGCCAGGAATTTACTGGGAAAAAAACTGATAACTCTTTGACTCCAGTTTATCTTTTTGCCTGCTTTCCAGAAACCATCAATAGCTTAATGTAATACTTATGGTTGAATCTCTCTTATCAAAGATTTCTGGTAAAATTTTCTTCTTTCCCCATAGCTTTCAATTACTTCTTATTTCTTTTTAGCTCAAGTTTTTTGGTGCATTTCCTCACTATAAGCCACCTTAGCCATTGAAACAAACGGTGAATAAATTATAATTATTTATCACTGATTTTTACTACTGAAAATAAATTTGCTTTGTTTTCTTAACCAATTTTTATCTTAAGCTTTCTGTAGTAATTCTCCCTCCACAAGAAAATTTAAGAGAATTTTCTTGCCTCTTCCATTAACATCTTCATTTGTAGTCATGTGATAGCCCAGAGTCTGAGAGTCTCTGTTTACTCTCTGTATAGGGAATGAAGAGTTAGCTTATTGCATTTTCTTTGAACTTTTTACTATTTGGGATACTCTATTATTGGATGTGTACTCATGAAAGAATCTCATTTGATTTTTTACCTTTGTTGATCTAGGTTTGTTATCATTCGGTTTTCTCAAAATGAGGCTTGGTATCTGGGTTTTACCACTAACCCTTCTTTTGTTCCAGGGTTTGTTTAAGGTAGAAGAGAGATCAATGGCACTGAGCCAAATGGGATCAAAATATCAGCTTTATGAAAGGTAAAGTTGGATTAGAGATTGCAGGTTGTACTTGAGGCCAGAATGGGGAGTTTAAGTGTTTTGACCCACATTGCTCACTCCTGGGGAATGTAGCAGGAGTTCCTTTCCCCCTGAAGAAAAGAAAAAGGAGGAAAAGTACTTTCAGAAGTTCTCATTCTTCATCTGATGACAAAAACATTGAGAAAAAAAATATGGTATATCATGCCATCTCTGATCCACTCTAGCAATAAAATACACAAACATGGAATTTTATAAATACACTCCAAAACCATTATGAACTTTAAAACCATCTTAAGATTATTTTTTTTTTTTAAGAAAAAATTAAGACAGTGGGGAAAACTTTAACACTTTGGTTACATGATTAGATATTTAGTTAGCAAGAAACATAATCTACTGAGACCAAAAGTGAATTAATTGGAATGATTCTGGACTGGATAGAAGAGTTATAAAAAAACAAACCAACAACCCAGGTCTTTGGAAGAACAAGAACCAGGAGCCTCAGATCTCCGAAGCAGGAACTCTTCAACTCTTTCCTGCAGTGCTTTCATCAGCTGCCTCAGCTCTGGGTGCCCTTTTTCTTTCTGTATCCCTGGCCAAGTTTCAGATTTTCTGGAGAGAACTTCCACTTGTTTCAGGTTGGGACATCCACTTATCCCTAGACCATAATCATTCTGAATAAGAGACATATAAATATTAGGATTGTTTTAGCCCCTGTTGTGAGCAGAGCAGGGTGGAAGAGGGAGAAACTCAGCATATCAAAAAATAGCAACCATCCACTCATTCAGCCTCCTGTGTGCCTTGTAGTTAATGGTAAGACACAGTAATGAAGAAGAAAGACATACAGGATGGGACAAAAGTAGGTTTACAGTGGTATGTGAAACTGTTTATTCTCTATTAATTATTGTATGATTTTCCATACAAATAACTGTAAACCTGCTTCTGCTTCACCCTGTACAATCCAGACTGAGGTTTTCGAGATGTTTCATAAAGGTTCTGATATTTTAGTTTCAATTTAAAAACTGAATAAGAATTTGCCATGGTTTTTAGATTTCATAATTATTTTTTAAGAAAGTTTTATAAAGCTTTGTAAAACATTATGAACATTTAAAAAATACAATTTCATATTAGCAAGTTCAATTTCTGATAGTTATTCATGGTCAGTAAAGGAATGTATTGACCCTTTTCCATCATGAATAATTGCTGATCATTTCAGTTTAACTATACATGTTTGTATGACCCAAACCGTCAGACCACTAGTGTTGATTTTGGAGGACACTAGAGGCCTGGCGCACAGGTGAGGTCCCTAGGCCTGGCCTGCAGTCAGGGTCTATCTTCCCTGGCTGCTGGCAGCTGGCCCCACCCATAACCCCCGCTGCTACTGGTTGCCCTGTGTGGGGAGACTGGCAGGGCAATTGGGCACCTGCATCTGCTGCCACCCACCTCCAGTTCCCGGTTCCCCATTGATGATCAGAGCCTGCTGGCGGGGGAAGGGACAGAGAGGTTGGCTGTTTCCACCAGCTCGCTGGCCCTGGCCCCCCCCCCCCCCCAGCTCTCCGAAGGGTGACCAGAGGGGTTATCAGGGCCCCTGGACCACCTGCTTCTACCACCACCCAACCCCAGTTTCTTGTTCCCCATTGTGCGACTGGGGCCTGCAGGCTGGGGGCAGCTCCTGAGATAGCATCTTCCCCCTGATGGTCAGTGCACGTCATAGCCAACCAGTCATTCCACCATCAATTCAGTTTGCATGTTACACTTTTATATATATATATAAAATTAAGTGTGTGTGTGTGTGTGTGTATATATATATATATATATATATATATGCTTAATTTTACTGTTATTGGAATAATGCTAGTTTATTGCTAAGCATATGAAAAACATTTGAAGTTTTTGAATCAAATACAGGGACAAATATTTTAATGCAGCATTAGAAATTCAGCTATCAAATAAACAAGGTAAGTGTGATTATAACTATTTATTGCTCTTAAAGGCATGTTGAATTTTGAGAGCCTTATTTACTTATCTCTCTATGTGTGTGTGTATGTGTATTTCTTTTAAAAGGAATTGGTCCAGATGGTCATATTGCTTTCAATGAGCCAGGATCCAGTTTAGTATCAAGGACAAGATTAAAGACCCTAGCAATGGACACCATACTGGCAAATGCGAAATATTTTGATGGAGATTTATCAAAGGTGCCAACCATGGCTCTAACAGTTGGTGTGGGGACAGTGATGGATGCTAGAGAAGTAAGAATTAAATGTTCTTTAATGTTTTTTTCTTTGGTATCAATAGCTACTGAAGGAATTATGGTGCCAATGCCAAATTAGTGATATTTTTGTTGCATCCTGTTCACATTTTTATTGTTTTCTAGCTTTCAGTAACTTCTGTTAGTCTCATTGCCATATTTAGAATTCAACTAAATTCTTTTTATTGAATTTATAGGGTTGGCATTGGTTAACAAAATTATACTAGTACTGGTTTCAGGTGCACAATTCAACACATCATCTATATATGGCACTGTGTATTCACCACCCCCAGTCAGGTCTCCTTCCACCCCCGTTTGTCCCCCCATACCCTCTTCTACCTTTCCGCCCCTCCTTCCCCCTGACAGTCACTACACTGTCATTCATGCCCGTAAGTTTTTTTTCTTGTTTGTCTCTATCCTTTCACCCTCCCTAACTCAACTTCCTCTGGCCCCATGACCCCAACTGCTGTCAGCCTCTCTTATTTATGAATTTGTCTGTAATGTGTTTTTTAGTTCATTTTGTTCACTTTATGAGTGAAATCACATGGTACTTGTCTTTCTCTGACTTTAAACCTGATTTTCTTTCAAGACATCTTTGGATAGCACATGTACAATGAAACAGTCTTCAGGCTTCTTGCTCTAGATTAGTTTTCCAAAGTAATATTTATTGTTTATCTGGAATAGAACAATTTGGTATATCATTCCTGATTATATCAATTCCTCGTTGACCTGTAATTCTGCTTTTGTAAAACAGCCCTTTTTTTTTTCTCCCAGGTTTTCTGCAAATCAGCCTTTTATGCTCATCAGTATTTAATGTTAATAATCATAGGTATTAAGATATATTCAATAATACTTTATAAATAGCAAGATGCTATTTTACCTGTTAAACCAGGAGATACACTTTGTGCTCGCCTGTTACTTTAAAAACATAGAAATACCTTGTACTATGAAGAAATATGAATATGTTCATTTTTATTTTACCCTCAGAGCAATATTGGTGCTAAAGTCTTTCTTTAAAAAATAATAATAATAATTAAGCCTCTCAGTCATTTGGAATATTTTAAGAATTAATAGTAATATTCACGATTTTTCAGGTCATGATCCTCATAACAGGCGCCCACAAGGCATTTGCTCTCTACAAAGCGATAGAGGAAGGAGTCAATCACATGTGGACTGTTTCTGCTTTCCAGCAGCATCCCCGCACTATTTTTGTGTGTGATGAAGATGCCACCTTAGAATTAAGAGTTAAAACTGTGAAATACTTTAAAGGTGAGCATTTACATTTACAAAGCAACATGTGAGAATGTTCTGTTGTAGATGACTGTTAAAATTTATTGTGATTGTAGCGTTACATCCTGCACTGTGGCCTGTTAAAAACTGGCATGTGCTGACCCAGTAGCCAGTTCTTCCAAGGAATAGAAATGATATTCAAAGAATATCTCGCGTCATGTAATAGCTTTCAGATAATTTCCTATTTTTTTTTCCTTGAAGAAAATCTCAAATCTTTATTTTCAATAAATAAGATTTTTTTGAAATGCAAATTTAATAAATTTTTACTTTCATATTGAATATACAAAGGAAATATATATTCTAATAAAGAGCTAACATGCTAATGGTCGATACATTGTAATAGGTAATTACCAGGTCATTAGCATATTAGCTGGGGTGCTGCTCTGGAGACAGGGCAGAAGCTAGGCGGCAGGGGACCATCAGTGCAGGGGAGGGCAGGGGTGAGAGCCCATAGCGCCCCCCTCCCCAGTCCTCCTCCACCTACCACTGGCACTCTGAGTGCCCTGGGGCCCACCTGCCAGGGGAAGGAGTGCAGCTCAGCAGGTGGGAGGCTTTTAAGCTCTTCTCTGGCACCATGATGGGGCAGAGCCACTGCCTTGCTCCAGAGACAGATGGGGCAGAAACAGGAGGCGCCCAGAGAAGGTGGGACCAGCCAGAGGCCACTCCAGGGACTGAGAGCGGGGCTTGAAGTGGCCAGAGAAGGCCAGAGGCTTTGGTTGCTGGGCCAGGCACACTGGAGCTCCGAGTGGACAGATTCAGGTGTCAAGGCAGGGCTGCAGGTGGGTGGGCAGCACCGGGCGATTTTGAATCGCAAGCTGGGCTCCTAGTATATATATTTGTGTGTTTGTGTGTCTGTGTGTGTCTGTGTGTGTGTCTGTGTGTGTGTCTTGTGTGTGTGTGTGTGTGTGTGTGTGCGCGCGCGCGCGCGCGCACGAGCGCACTTTCTGATTTTTTTTTTTTTTCTATCTCATCTCCCTCTCCAGGCTATGTTTAGAATCTAATCAGCAAGTAAGATGGGCTGCCCACTATCTCTAAAATTTAATCTTTACAATTTCAAACAAATTACTCTTTCATATTAAAAGTTATAATAGTTAAATATTAAACAATATGACATAAACTCCGCAAGTTAGCAAGAGCTTGATTGCTCAGACTTTTGTATGTATATTTCCTCTTGTTTCTTCCTGCAGTCTAGTTCAGCAATTCTTAAACCTTACCATACCAGGTTTTATTTATAAACCCACATATGCTTGATGTAATAGGTAATTAGAGAGATTTTTCCAGGGAAATTTTGAGTACACTCAGTTTAGAACCATCCCCTGCTTTTCAAATTCCATATAAAAATTCACATAAACAAGCTCTATAAACAGGTATACTCTTTTGTTGTTGTTTTTTAAATTGATTTCAGAGAGGAAAGGGGAGAGGGAGAGTGAAACAGCAATGATAAGAGAGAATCATTGATCAGCTGTCTTCTGCATACCCACTATTGGGGATTGAGCCCACAACCAGGGCATGTGCCCTGGACCAGAATCAAACCTGGGACCCTTCAGTCCTCAGGCCAATGCTCTATCCAATGAGCCAAAGCAGCTAAAAAGGTACTTTTTATAAAGCACCTGTATTTATATAGCTGATATGAAAATATTATTTAATTGGTCATACATGTAGGTGAATTATCCATAAAGTATGTAGTATGTGAATCTAAATTTTATATTTTTACTCTAGTAACTGTGTTTACTTAACATGTATTAAAAATTTATACTGAACCAATCAAACCTGTATTTCATGGATATCAAGTTACCATATTTTACTACTTCTTAGGCACACTTTTTTCACTTTTCCATAATTGGAATGTATTTAAAATTGTTATATCAGTTTATCAAGTAGCATTTTTTTTTTCTTAGTGGTACATAAAATGATTTTAACAGTCTAATAGTTCAGCATTTCATATTCATGAAATATTATATAATGCATTAACTTAAAAGTTTTAAGTCAATTTAAAGGAAACTCGTTAACTTTAGTTCATGTACTAGAAAATGTCTGACTATGTCAGAAATCTGGAAGGTGGCACAAATAAAAGTTTGGCAAACTGGTAAAATACCGTATTTTCTGGCGTATAAGACGACGCCCTAATTTTACAGTTAAAACATAGGTTTAGGCCTATGTTCGCTGTATAAGACTACCCCCCCACTTCTGAGGCAACACCAGTTCTTTTTTTAATAGAACGCCTCTCTGACTCTGGCCAATCTGAGCAGGCTTTTTACTAGAACACAGTGTAGCTTCGGGTACAGAACATAGTCTACTTTTTAAAACAAAAGTTTGATCATGTGGATATAGTTTTGTAATTTGCACTTATCTGTTATGAAAGTTTTCCTATTTTACTAAAAATTCTTGAAAAGTATTTCTAATCCTATATAATAGAGGTAATATGCAAATTGACCATCACTCCAACACGCAATTGGTCGCCCCCATGTGGTCAAAGTTGGCCACCACAAGATGGCCAGCAAGGGAGGACAGTTGTGAGCCATCAGCCCAGCAGGAGAGGGCAATTAGGGGTGACCAGGCCTGCAGGGGAGGGCAGTTAGGGGTTACTGGGCCTGCACAGGTTGGCAGTTGGCAGGAACCAAGCCTGCAGGGAGGGGAGTTGGTGACGATCATGCCTACAGGGAAGGGCAGTTGGGGGTGACCAGGTTTGCAGGGGAGGACAGTTAGGGGTGACCAGGATGGCAAGGGTGGGCAGTTAAGGGCAATTAGGCTGACAGGGGTGTGGTTAGGGGGTGGTCAGGCTGGCAGGTAGAAGCAGTTAAGGGCAATCGGGCAGGCAGTGGTTGGGAGCCAGCAGTCCTGGATTGTGAGTGGGATATCATCTGCCCATATAGATCCGATCCTGGTGTGATTGAGTCTAAATGGGCAGTCGGACATCCCCCAGATTGGAGAAGGTGCAGACTGGACTGAGGGGGACACCCCCCCCCACACACACACACACACACACGAATTTTGTCCACTGGGCCTCTAGAGTGTGTGTGTGTGTGTGTGTGTGTGTGTGTGTGTGTATAAATATATATATATATCGCTAATATGCAAGTTATCTGCTTGGGAGTGGGAGTTTGATCACTCACTATGATGTGTGCTGACCACCAGGGGGCGGTGCAGAACATGTTCAGAGGTGGCTACAGGGTGCTGAGGGAGCAAGGGAAGGAGGAGGTAGGGAGGCCAGGCCTAGGGGTCCTATCCTGCACAAATTGCATGCACCAGGCCTCTAGTGGCTATGTAATAGTCAACTAGACAGAATTTGCTCAAGTATTTCCTTAGTGTTAAACACTTAAATTATTTCCAGTCATTTATTTTTATCAGATAAATTACTAGGTTTTTTTTTTTTTTTTTTTTTTTTTTTTTTTTTTTTTTTTTTTTTTTTTTTTTTTTTTTTTTTTTTTTTTTTTTTACCAAGCTATAAATATATAAACTGGAAAATTGTTAGCTTCTTAGTAACCTATATAATAAAAGGGCAATATGCAAATTGTGCCTTCGGGAATTCTACCAACCTTGAGTTGAACTGCTCGCTATGAGGTGTGCTGACCAACAAGAGAAGGCAGGTTCCAGCCAGCAGCTGGGGGAAGGAAGGACCCAGTCCGCAGCTGGTAGCAGGAGAAAGAAAGGCCCCATCTGGCCCTGATCGCTGGCCAGGCCTAGGGACACTACCAGTGCACAAATTCCATGCAGTGGGCCCTTAGTTTGACAAAAGCAGAAAATATGAGATCAGTTGTGAATAAGACAGAGCTCTTGGATGGAGTCTTACCCTTATAGTTCCATGTAACCCTTCAGATTTCATCATAAATGTCAGATTACTTGATAACATTAATAGATTACCCACAGGTTTTAATGATAGTTTTAAGGAGAATCATTTAACATTGCCATTTTTCTAGCACCAGCAATCCCCAGATAAACCCCTTTACTTGTCAATTTGGTTTTTATCAGAAAGTTTTTACATTTTAGTGAAGTAAATATTTAATAATAATAGCCATACCTAGAGGACCAGGTTCTATTCTAATCACATTACACCGATTTATTTACATCTCATTATTCTGTGAAGTGGGTACTCGTTAAATCACTTGCCCAAGTCACACAGGTCATATGTGGGTGAGCTGGGTAACGGAATCAGATTTATCTGCAGTCTGGGCTTCAGTCCACTATTACACTGCCTTAAAGAAGAGTAAACTCTGGGTATGGTATGGTATAAATTATATTGCTTCCAAAAAGGTATAGACATAAGTGAGAGATAATTTAAAACAGAAGTACATGATTATATATATTTTAGTTCTTTCACTTCACCTATCCAGATTCTAAGCTCTTCTGAAACCTGTTGCAGTGTATAGGCAATCCTTGGATCTTGTTGGAGATCCATTCCTACGGTGCGACTTAATACAATTTTTGCCATAAGTCAGAACCCACCTACATAAGCATCTACGTCACTTACATGGAGCACATACACAGCAGTAATGAAGTGAAACAGTAAAAGTAAATAAATAAATAAATAAATAAATAAATAAATAAAGATAACAATTCCTGACCTTTACTAGTGGTACATTCAAAACAAAACAAAACAAAAAACATAAAGCACATATGCATTTACATCGAAATGACTGAACTTTTTTTTTTTTTTTTCTAATAAATACTGTAAATGGGAGATGGCGACGTAACCATGAAACGACATAAGTCGAGTCTGACGTAACCGGAGGACTGCCTGTAGAACTGTGGATGAGAGAATTGCTGCCTTGCCTCTTTGAGGACACTCTCATTTCCCCTTGGAGCTGTACATAGCTGAAGAGGTTCAGGAGATCAGCTTCGATCAGCTTTCTCCTCAATATGGAGAAAAGTGGAATTGAGATATTGTTCTGGGCTGTATATAGACCTCATCTTACAATAAGTGTTTTGATATAGGGTAGAATAATTTTATTCATGAACTTGGACATATAATAAATGTAATTTATATCTGCCTTATCCTCACTGAGTTACTGTATCACTTCAATATATACTGGAGGATATGAATCCTGTTATTTCTAATTTTTCAAATTCCCTTCACATCACTACCCCTTCTTCTGCCATCACCTAAAACTAGAACAGGAATCTTAAAGGATTTGATTATTTAGCTCCTGAAGAAAATGTAGATTAATATATTTTCAGTATTAAATTAATTTGCTAGATTAATGGATAGACAGTAAATCAGTAAAGTTTATTTTATTTTTTTAAAAATATATTTTATTGATTTTGTACAGAGAGGAAGGGAGAGAGATAGAGAGTTAGAAACATCGATGAGAGAGAGTCATTGATCAGCTGCCTCTTGCACACGCCCTACTGGGGATATGCCCGCAACCAAGGTACATGCCCTTGACCGGAATCGAACCCGGGACCCTTCAGTCCCCAAGCCGAAGCTCTATCCATTGAGCCAAACCGGTCTCGGCTCATCAGCAAAGTTATTTTAATATATTCCTTTTGAAAGATAAAAGTATATCACAGGAAAACATTTTAGAACTTAATTTTTTTTTTTTACTTTTTAAAATAAAATTGTTTTATTTACTTGAGATAATGTTTTTAAGACATTACTAATGAACTTTTCCCTTTCTGTTCCATCTTGATTTTATATTTTAAAAAGCTATCACCAGCTCATTAAACCTTCCACTTTTTATTTTTAAAAAATATATTTTTATTGATTTCAGAGAGGAAGGTTAGAGAGCATCAGTGATGAGAGAGAATCATTGATTGGCTTTCTCCTGCACGATCCATACTGGACATCTAGCCCACAACCCAGGCACGTGCCCTGACTGGCAATTGAACTGGTGACCTCTTGGTTCATAGGTCGATGTTCAACCACTTATTTTTAAGAGCAGTTTACTGATTTTGATTTTTAAAGAAAGGAGAGGGAGAATATCCATGTGAGAGCATAACATCAATTGGTGGCTGCCTCCCGCTTGCCCTCTACTGGAGATTGAGCCCACAACCCAGGAAGATGCCCACTGAGCCACACCAGCCAGGGCCTTCGTAGACTTTTAAAAATAAATGTTTATTGTGCTTCCACTATGTGCAATGACCTTTATAGGCCCAGGACTTACGACAGCGCATATATGGTCTTGGACCTAGTTTCCAGTTGGAAACATGGTAGAAAATACTATTTCCTAAGAATGAAAGTTGCTTTTAGGAAAGTGAAGTGGCATGAATAGTTTAAGTTGACATTTGGGCTAAGACCTAATAAATAAAAAGGAGACAGTCAGACTTCACTCAAGGAGAAGAGCAACCAGGCTGAATCAAGTATTCAAATCCTGCACTGGAACTGAGGTTAGCTTTTCTGCCCTAACAGCAACAAACCTAGGGACGAGTACAGCATAAAAGTGGGAAAGTGAGAGGACATGAGGTCAGATGGATAAAGACAACAGAATAAAATCCAATTTATTTTGCAAGTGGCCAGAGCAATTGGAGAATTTTAAACAGGGAAATGGTACAATCCAGTTTGTTTTAGAAAGGCTGTGCAGAAACTATTATGGGATGGGGTAAATGAGTCAAAGTAGGTAATTGTAAGTAATTGATTTAGATTTGAAGAGTGGTTTCAACTAGGGTAGTAGTGGGGAGATACACTATGGTTAATCTATCTTATAGAACAGTGGAACAACCAGAACAACTGGTTGCTCTGACACTCACTGACCACCAGGGGAGCAGATGCTCAACTCGGGAGCTACCCCCGGTGGTCAGTGCATTCCCACAGCAAGAGCACCACTTCGCCAGAAGCCAGGTCCATGGCTGGCTAGCACAGCAGCTGTGGCAGGAGCCGCCTCTACCTCTGCAGCAGTGCTAGGGAGTGGTGATCCAAGTGGCAAGCGGGCACTTAGGAGCAAGGAGTCCCAGATTGAGTGAGGGTGCAGGCTGGGCTGAGGGGACTCCCCCCCCACCCCCCCTGCATGAATTACATGCATCGAGCCTCTAGTTGGATATATATTTTGAAAGAACAGACAGCCCCTCACTTTGACTCTACAATGGTGCAAGAAGATATGCATTCAGGAGAAATTATACCCTGAGTTTTGATCTTGTTCTGGGATACTGATAGTAAAATACTCTTGTGATACAGGGCAGCCCAGTCTGCCATGTGATCATGAGGGTAAACAATCCATAGAGTATTTTAAGTGCATTTTCAATTTAAAATATTTTCAACTTAAGGGTTTAGTAAGGGGTAATCCCATCATAAGTCAAGGAGCATCTAGCACAAACTGCTGAATTTAAAAAGAGAAAAACTAGATTGCAGTGGTCTGGCTATAGCAGCTCATTGGAGGGTATCACCACATACCAGACTTTCAAAGAAATGGTTCGCAAGGGAACACATGGGTCTGGATCTTGTTAAATTTAAGCTGCTGATTAGACACTGAAGTAGGCTGTTGAGCAGGTATCAGTCTGTTCTCTTGAGATGAGCTAATGAATGTTCTTTCTTCTCTCAAGGCTCTACTTCTGGTTTTTCTCCTAATACACGAACACTTCAGTGTTCTTTGCATGTCCATTTTTGCTTATTTCTTAAAAGCAGATCATCCGCACAGTTTAGATTTTAGAGTGCTTTTGCAGCTTTTTGAACAAGAACCATCTACTTACTAACCAAGAAGTGTCCTGTCTCCCCTGTCCAATAACACCATTTCCTGAGAAAATTGCATTGAAACCCTTTCCCCTGTCTTTGTTTTTATTGGAAAATTTAATTCATGTCTTTAACTTACAAAATATAAAATCTTTAGTTCACTAATTGGGACAATTTTTTGTTTCCCCCAAAGAAAGAGAGTATGTGTGTATTAAGACATTAATAACTGGGAGATATTTTCCAAGAAGCTTTAAGAAGAAAGAATAATTCACAAGCATACCAATTATAAGATGATTTTTAAATCTACTTGGAAATTAGCCTTTAATATAGGTTCTCTTCTGTATTGTTTTAGTAACCCCTCCTCCCCCTTGATGTGGCTTGTAATCAACTCCTATTGCAAATATACATGTCAAAACAATGGAAATTAATTTGCTAGATTAATGGATAGACAGTATTCTACTGAGGAATTAAAGCTACCCTAGCAAAAACAGTTCTGAGCTTTTCATTGGACTCTGGTAAAGGAAATGAGCGAGGAGTTAACTCCACTCTTACATCTATAATAATAAAAGGGTAACATGCTAATTGGTCTGGACACCTTTCCTGATGAAGCCGGGACCTGAGGGAAGCCAGCCCAGGTCCTGGGTACCTGCAGGTGGCCCGAGGGAAGCCAGCCTGGGTCCTTGGTATCTGCAGGTGGCTGGAGGAGGGAAGCAAACTGGTGTCCTGGGTGCCTGCTGGCAGCCGGAGGAAGGAAGCCCCAGTCCCAGGTGCCAGAGGGAAGCTAGTGCAGGCTGCTGGGGAAAGGAAGACCGACTCTGCAGGAATTTTCGTGCATCAGGCCTCTGATGTAATTAAAATGTTTTAACCAAGTCAGTATTAAAATCTGTGATTTTGTCACACTGAAGCTCTGTTTAAACATCAATGATGAGAGAAGAACTGCTCTTACTTCCGGTTACTGCAAAATAAATTGTATAAATTCTATACCTAGATTCATAATTATAAATTGGTATTTAGTAGGTAGGTTAAACATTTCAAAATGTCTCTATTTGTATTTTTAAAATATTTTTTATCAGATGGAAACCTATATACTTTATCTTAAAATTGTTTTCTAATGTAAATGAGAGGTAGTTCAAGATTTAAAATATTAGAATTATGCTTTTTTCTTTAAGGTTTAATGCACGTGCACAATAAACTTGTGGATCCACTATACAGTATGAAAGAAGGAACTGAAGGAGATTGGAGCAAAATTCTGCTTGAATAAACTTCTATAACAGATGCATTTGCAGCTATGCAATATGATAAAACACGAGTTTTTAAAGATTGTCACTTTTGAAGTCCAATATCTATGTTAAACATTCCATATATAGAATGTGTCTATTTTATACTTGGGTTAGAAGTAGTTGCGTCTCATAATTAACCAGCTATTTATCTGAAGTCCAGAAGCCACATAGCCACTCTATAAAACAGCCCAGAAATGAAATGTCTGTTTTAAACATTTAAAAAGTCTCTTAAAAAATATTTCTATTGATTTCAGAGAGGAAGGGACAGGGAGAGATAAAAACATCAATGATGAGAGAGAATCAGTGACTGCCTCCTGCATGTTCCACACTGGGAATCAAGTCTGCAACCCAGGCATGTGCCCTGACCTGGAATTGAACCCTGAAGTCCACAATACTCAACCACTGAGCCACTCCAGCTAGCCTAAAATGTCTTTTTAAAGGTGAAGACTTTGTACATAAGTACATTCATATGACTCCAGTGGCATTGTTAGATTTTATTTTTTGATCACATGAAGACACAACTATCACTGCAAACCTTTACTTGTGAATGCTCTCTTACATGTCTCTGCGCATTACACAAGCTTTCTGCACGTGGTTGCCTTAGTCATCTTCCTGCAGTAGCACCTGGACATCCCGAGTCCTGCTATACATTGTAGGTACAGAAACCTGAAGCGAAGACGGTGCCTAAAAGTACATATACGCCCTTCTGGAAAGTATGTACAAGAGCATGATTTTTGTGCACCTTTTTTACAAATGTGCCCTTGTTTTTGTTTAATGACTTGGGTTCATGCTTTTACTGTAAGTATTTTGGTAATTATGAGCTTTATACCTACACTAACACACTTAAGGAAATTATTTTAAAGAGCATTTTCTAATTGTTAAACTTCATAAATGATTAGCTTTATTCCTTACATATGTCTAAAAGGATAATATAATGAAGTTTATGTATATATGTGTAAGTAATTATTGTAAACTATTTTAAATTGCCATAAAAACTTACATCATTAAACTGCAAATAAAAAAAAATTATTTTCTATCTTTAATTCTAATAAAGCTTATAATAAATTTAAGTTACTAGTATCTATATTTTATTTCCAGAAGTGAAATTAAACACACGCATCTGAGAGATTCCAACAATTAATAGTGGCTATTGAGCCTGCATTTAACTTTTTGTTTGTTACCATCAAAAGCAATTAGGAGATTTAAGTTAAAAAATAAGTCTGCCCATTATCTCTTAATCTTGCTCCTTTTCCTCTGAATAGTTTGCACGTTATAAGCCCATCCAGTAAAAGAAGCATTATTTAGGTAACCGCTAATTCGCCTTTGTGATTGACATGTTTATAGTGAAGTTCCTAAAAAACTCAAATAGCAAATAAATTAGAAGTTAGATTAGAGAAAGAGACTATTTGAACTCCAGCTCTGTCAATGACAACTATTTGAACTCCAATGTCAGACAATACAAAGTCTGAATTTCTTCCCCTAAAAAATGGGATGGTAATAATCTCTGTACCTTAATTGTTGTGTAGATTGAATAAGCGAATGCTTATAGAGCTCAACACAGTAGCTATCACATTTTAACTCAATAAATGATGGGCATTCCAATACTCATAGTTTATAATATTACAATGTTTTCAAATTACTTAAAAATATAAGGTCTTCTGGAGTATAGAAGGTATACAACTTTAAATCATGAAAACCATCTATTTGAGAGCCTGGCTAAAGGAGAGAACTTAGGCTAAAAATTTTGAAAAGTATTTTTTGTACCTTTATTGCTAAAACTATTTCTTGAAGAGGCAGAGGTTAAAGGAAGAGAATGTATCCAAATTGAAGACATTCTAATAAAGCACAAATACCAAATAGTCAATACATGGTGCATAATACCTGCCCAGTAATGTGTAACTTTTTCCTAATAACTGAACACTTTGTTTAAACTGTATTTAAATGCTTTTCTAGTTTCAAATATAGTGCCAGTATCTCCTATTTCACCTATTTTACTAGAGATAGAAAAGAGAGGGGACATATCTGAGCTAATTTAACTAGGACTAAATCACAAGTTATTTTACCCCTTAAATACAATTTTAAGTAAATCCCCACTACCTTAAAATTATCATGTAATAACCATGGTATAAAATTCACTGAAAGTCTTATCCCTCAAAGATATTTATCTCATCCAATTCAGTCAAGGAAGAGGACAAAAATCAATAGCTAAATTACACGTGACTCTTAATCTGTGTTGGAACTGGGAAAGTCCATTTATAAGCAGATTTTTTTTCAATTAGCCTACAGAGGTCAACCGACCCTCTTAGTTTAAACACACTGTTCAAGGGTCAGTTGGAACCTGCATATACAGAGAGCCAACTTAAGTTAAGCATGGATTTTTGACTGCAGGTGATCAGCCTCTAACCCTTGCATTGTTCAAGGGTCCAACTGTATTTTATCTATAGTAAAATAATCTGCCCTCTGGTCTGTTCATTTACTGCCCGAGTGACCTCAAGTTAAATTACTATTAGCAATAAAGCTCAGTCTCAATTATGAAATCTAGACAATAATTATTAAACTGCTATTAAATAACAGCTGCTCCTAATACCAAATCCCTATCACTTTGCACAACTGCATTTTAATGATCAAAAATAAGACAGCCCTACCCTTATTTTAACATAGATATACAGTGTGAGGCAAAAATAGGTTTACAGTTTTGATTACATGAAACATAGTTTATTCTTGTCATTATTTATAATTATGGTATTTTCCATAAAAATTGAAAACCTTTTGCCTCACGCTGTATGTAAACCATCCAGTATCAAAGTAACAAAATTTTTTTATCAAAATGGCCTGGGGGAGGGGACATGGGCAGTTGGCCAACCTGCCTGCTGGTCAAACTCCTGGTTGAGGAGACAATTTGCATATTAGCCTTTTATTATATAGGATATACACTAAGCGGCCAGATTATTATGCATTCAGAGATCATAATAATCTGGCCACTCAGTGTAGTTAAGATTCATTGAGCACTTACTATGTGTCATGCAATTTTCTGAGTATTTCAACCATTTTATCTCATCTAACAACCTATAGAGGTAAGTATAGTTTAACCTGATTTTACTAGAGTAAACAGACTAAGAGAGGTAAGTAATTTACCTTGCTAGTAAGTGGTGGAACAGAAATTTGAAACCAGACAATATGCCTTCAGAGTCCAAGCTCTTATCCACTTACTAGTACCCTTCAAAGAAAAGCCAAATCGTTTATATCTGAAAACCCTAGAAGTAACAAGCTAATTTTATAATTTTCTTTCTGCTGTCAACATGTTATAAACTTACAAGAAAAACTAAAGGACACACAACTTTTAATTAATAAAATTCCTTATATTTTCACACCAATTATTTATCAGTTTGTGTCTTCAGAACTTTTATAAAAGCATCTTTAGGAACTTCTATGTTGCCAATCTTCCTCAGTTTTTTCTTTCCTTCTGCTTGTCTCTTTAAAAGCTTCATTTTCCGGGTAATATCACCACCATACTGAAAAATATTTAAAAAATTGGAAGTCCAGATCACTCCATAGAAAAATATTACATATAATTACATAGTGACATCAATACAACAACCTTACAATTATTATCCATGAGTCCATGAGAAAGATATCTGCAAAGATACCTCTCTAGTCCTCTTCCTAGCGGACCCCAATTTTATTGCCTTTAAGAATGATTAAGGCTTTGTTTATTTTTGGATGGAAATGAAAATCCCCAAGGAAATCCAGCACTACATTATCCATGACAAGGAAGAACTATGAATCTCCTTACTGATTCAAGGCCTGAAATTTTGTATTATTACATATAGCTGTAGCCTAATATAGAAACTTACATAGACATAAATGTACCAGTCCCTGTGCAAAGAGTTTAGAAATAGTATTTATCATTTGATGCTCATAACTGAGCTAAGAATAGTCTTTTTAAATAGAGAGCCAGCAAACTTATCAAAATAATGGAGAGGTGGATTTCAATTCCATACTCTTCCCACTATTTAGACATTATCTTCAAAATCTTTCCTTATAAAATTAGATCAACAAATGTGTTATAAAATACTTTCTTAGATAGTGTTTTACATAAGGAAATTTTTATAAATAAGATGAAAAATATTTAAGAATGCAAAATGAATGTACAATCATAGTAAAGGTGAAATTTACCAATTTAGAAAGAAAACTTGGAGATGAAATAAAAGGGTATTATAAAAACCAACAATGGAAACCAATATATGTATACCCCCTTAATTTTAAACTCATAAAGCAGAACTATTATTACAAAGCAGAATATAAGTAGGTACGTACACATTTTGCCAAAACATTTTTCCTATAGGCTTTCACGCTGTAAAAGAGAAAATGTTGTATAAGTACATAATGTCACTATACTATTTAAAAGTATTTTATTTTCAAAGTCTCCTCTTTATTAAAGATTTAAATGATCAGGTCAGACCTATGTAAAACTGCCATAAGTAAATAATTAGATAGCTCAAATTCTCTTATTTTAGTTTCATATATTTAAGATAAAATAGAAAATGAATTCAACATAAATACCAACACATAATAATCTGGCCACTCAGTGTATAGCCTATATAATAAAAGGCTAACATGCAAATTGTCCCCTCGATCAGCAGGCAGGCCGGCCAACCACCCATGTCCCCTCTCCCTGCATGAATTCGTGCACTGGGCCTTTAAAATACACACACACACACACACACACACACACACACACACACACACACACACAAAGTGGCCAGATTATTATGCATTCAAAGATCATAATCATCTGGCCAATCAGTGTATATTTTAGGAATAAAAAAGGTCAAGACGCTGGATAGCATTGATGAAGCCAAATTCAAGCATGGTATGACCTTGATTATAAGAATTACTAGTGGCCTGGTGCACAAATTCGTGCATGGGGCAAGGTGGTTGTCTCTCAGGCAGCCTGTACCCTCTCTAATCTGGAACCCCT